ACTTTAGCTGTAATAATATATTAGCCCACTTAAGTAATGTTTTTCTTCGAGTAGCTACAGAAGAAATTACTCTGGCCTTATTATTAGCTTACCTACTTAGATTAATTATAGTTAAACCTTTAAATTGCACTTTAAGTTGAATATTAGTATTTTGCTAAATAACTAGTAAAATGTGCTATTTTTTATAATAGCAAAGACGAAAGAAATTAGCAATCAATATTATGTTTTAAAATGTGTTTTACATAGGAAATACTTGGAAAAAAAATTAAAAAACTCACAGAAGGATAATTTTGTCTTCAACTAGAACTACAGTATTGGTTTGTCACAGTATACAATTTGTAAGACTGTTAGTGACATAAATGATTCTCATATTTATCAGCTAATGTGTGTACATTAGTTTCAAATATACACTTTTGAAAAAAAAATTATATGAATAAAGCATTTTATACAAAAAAAGCTGTAAATCTACAATCAATAACAGATTGCTTGTGTGTGCTTCTCAGTCATTATGTTTGGCCAATGTGTGTACAGAAGTAAATGTGGAAATTTGTATAAAAACCCATGATCAGTAGTTACAAAATGTCTCTTAGTGTCTACTCAGACATGATATTTGTAGTTAAAAAATTATTTTTAATTTAATAAATTAAATTTAATCCATAAATCAAAATCTATAAATCAAAATGAACAAGAATCGGATTCACAAGAGAACATAAGGAGTTAATTCAGGCAATGCTATTTCAGGTTGAACATGCATTAAAAATAGCCCTAAGATTGTTTTCTTTCTGTGATTTCATCTTAATTTCCTGTTTCATTAAACAAGACTCTAACAGAAATAAATAAATGTAAATTACTAAACAAATGCAAATACAAAAAAAAAAAAAAAACACACACACACAAAATTGTATCAAAAAAGAGACTTACTTTGTGCTAAAAACAGCAAATACAGCCCCCTCATACTTGTAATGATAATGTGCTTGATGAGAAATGCTTTGATGCACCTTGTTGCATGCTATTTTTATGTGAAACAGGATGTAAAACAGCGATGGACGAACTGTGGTTTGGCATTGTGTGCTCTTTCATTTTCCAAAATCAAAAAAGTACGTCTGTACTAAAAACGGTATACACTAAAAACTACTCCGTTCATGCAAAACTTTGAAAAAAAAATAACAATTAAAATATTGAATCAAATTTTCTAACTTTCTGAGATACTCGGACAGGTATTAGTGTATATGCCTGTAAGAGAGCATTGTTTTTAACACAGGAAAAGGTCAAAAACTGCACTTCATCAGAACAGCCACAAGATGGAAGGATTACATTCAAAGTAAGTTCTCAAATGTAAAAAACTGATTTATTTTCTTTGCCATGATGACAGTAAATAATATTTGACTAGGTATTTTTCAAGACACTTCTATACAGCTTAAAGTGACATTTAAAAACTTTTTTTGATTAGGTTAACAAGATAGGAATCAGAATAGGGTAATAAGGCAAGTTATTGTATAAGGATGGTTTCTTCTGTAGACTATCGAAAAAATTGCTTAAAAGGGCTAATAATTGTGTCCTTAAAATTGTGTCTAAAAAATTAAAAACAGATTTTTTTCTATAGCTGAAATAAAACAAATAAGATTTCTACAGAAGAAAAAACATTATCAGACATACTGTGAAAATTTCCTTGCTCTGTTAAACTTAATTTGGGAAATATTTTAAAAAGGAAAAAAAAAAAAAAAATCAAAGGGGCTAATGATTCTGACTTCAACTGTATGTGTATATATATATATATATATATATATATATATATATATATATATAATATATATAATATATATATATATATTCTATATATATATACATATAATATATATTCTATATATATATACATATATATATATATTCTATCTAAATTTTATACATGTATCGTTTAGACCATAAAATGATATTTTAAAAAATAATTAATTGCTTTTATTCTACTAAAAATAAAACAAATGACTTTTTCAGAAGATAAAATGTTACTGGAGATACTGTAATTTCTTGGACTGTTAAACTTGGGAAATATTTAAAAAAAGAATCACAGGATGGATAATAATTCTGACTTTAACATTATAACATATAATAATCAAAATGCAATAGTCAAAATGCACAAAAACAAACTAAGATATATTGGTTATTGGCAAAAATAAATTAAAAAAATATAGGCTTAAACATTATTTACACATACTCACATACACATTTAAACATTTTAAAGAGATTTTATCTCATGCAGTACATTTTCTCGCTTATTGGTAAGGCATATCATTTTGAGACAAATGTATAAAATACAGTTTAATTTTTACAAAAGTGATTTTCTATTCATAAAAAAGGATAATGAACACCAAGTGTCTACTTTAACGTTTCAAATAACGTGAAAACAAAATGTCTAAATATGGCTGACGAATATTTCTGTGTAATTCAGCGTAACAGATATACAGATGCGTCTCAATAAATTGTTAACAAAAAGCTGACTTACTTCAAAAATTCTATTCAAAATGTGATACTATATTATATAGATTCATTACATTCAGACTATTCAAGTGTTTTTTTTCAATTGTGATGATTATGGTTTGCAGCTAATGAAAACCCAAAATTCAGTATATTAGAAATTTTTAGTTTTAAGTTAAGACCAATAAAAAAAGATTTTAACAAAAATGTTGGACAACTGCAAAGTATGAACATGTACAGGCCTCAGAATTTGGTGGAAGCTCCCTATGCAAAACTGACATGGCATGGAGACAATCAATCTGTGGTCTGATAGCGGCCTTCAACTCTTCTGCGCTGTTGGGTCTGGCGTCTCACATCTTCCTCCTCACAATACTCCACAGAATCTCTATAAGTGTTTTTGTTGGGCATGTTTGCTGGCTAATTAAGCATTGCATCTAAATACTATTGTTCCTAAACTAGATTTGGCAGTGTGGGCAAGATCCAAGTCCTGCAGGACAATCAAATCAGCATCTCCATAAAGCTGTGATACTATATTATATAGATTCATTACATTCAGACTATTCAAGTGTTTTTTTTTAAATTGTGATGATTATGGTTTGCAGCTAATGAAAACCCAAAATTCAGTATATTAGAAATTTTTAGTTTTAAGTTAAGACCAATAAAAAAAGATTTTAACAAAAATGTTGGACAACTGCAAAGTATGAACATGTACAGGCCTCAGAATTTGGTGGAAGCTCCCTATGCAAAACTGACATGGCATGGGTCTGGCGTCTCACATCTTCCTCCTCACAATACTCCACAGAATCTCTATAAGTGTTTTTGTTGGGCATGTTTGCTAGCTAATTAAGCATTGCATCTAAATACTATTGTTCCTAAACTAGATTTGGCAGTGTGGGCAAGATCCAAGTCCTGCAGGACAATCAAATCAGCATCTCCATAAAGCTGGTCAGAAGAGGGAAGAACGAGACATCAGAGGTGTCTTACCTGGGCTATAAAAAGCGGGCCAAAGTTCTCTTTTATGTATACAAAGTTCTCTTTTTAAAGTAAATTTTGCATTTCATTTGGAAATCAAGGTCCCAGAGTCTGGAGAGAGGTGAGGCACAACATCTAAGGGCCTACTCACACTATGCCATTCGTACCATGCCCAGGCCCGTTTACTGGATCGTTTGAGAAGTGTGAGTGCGCTGAATCGGGCTCAAGCACGGTTTACTTGGCTGGCCCTGGCCCGGTTGGAAGAGGTGTGCCTAAGCCCGGTTCACTTGGGCTTTGGCGCGGTACGCTTGTGTGTGAGTGCAAAACGCGCCAAAGCCCGAAACTGAAAGCGAGACGTGACTTTTAAGGTACTGTTTCATATGGATTTATTAATCATTCTTACTGTTCAGTGAACGCAAACTGCCGTCGTTTATTAAAGACGCAAACTCCTCACTTCACGACAGCTGCGCGCCTTCAGCAGACCTCCTCATTCCTGCAGCACGAGAGCTTTATGATTGTTTATGAGCGCCAAAAGTGGCGGATCTGTTCGGCGAAATATCTGACTGCGTGTCACCGCATCCCTAACGCCCTATTCACACGGGGCGTCAGCGTCAACGCTTCCCATTCACTTTGAATGAGTGACATCAGGCATTGCCAAACTGCATTGTGGATCCGTCGGCGCCGTTTCAGAAGCGTTCCTCGCTGCAGAAGTTGGGACCAGCTCAACTTTTCAAGCGCCGACAGAAGCGTCAGCCAATCAGATCGCTGTATGCAAATACACCAGCTCAGACAGTGGCCTATTGCTGACTGAATTTAATTGGCTGACGCTTCTATGACAATCGTTTCAGCTCCAACTTCAGACACGCCCTCTGTCAAGCGTTGACGCTGAAGCCCCGTGTGAATAGGGCATAAGGACTGTTTGCCGAAATATTTGACGGCAAATCAAACGACTGAAACGATATAACTAGAGAAATCTCCACTGTGCTGCTGAGTGAGAGAGCGCTTCTCACTGAACAGCGCAGCAGCGATGACGTAAGCATGCCGAAGCCCGTTTGTGGTGTGAGCGCGTGCCATCGGGGAGACGGGAGGGGGGACAAGCGAACTGAACTAAACTGAACTTCAACTAAGAAAACTAGACTGACACTGTTTCAATTTACTAAAACTTCTATGTTAAGCTGTTTTGACACAATCTACATTGTCAAAGCGCTATAGAAAAAAAGATGAACTGAATTGAATTTCAGGATTTAAATACAAAAATGTCCAGTTTATGTTCTGCTTGGGAATTAAAGTAAACTATTTGATATCTAGAAAGATTATATGTGGTGACAAAAACTAAAAATAAAACACTGCTTGTACACAAATGATAAATGACACAGAAAATACAATGAATTCAAACTGCTGTCTGACATGCCTTTATTCCAAGAGTCACACCAGTATCTTTCTCTGGTGTGGCTTCATTAATACATTCTCTAAACACTAGCTCTTCCTCAACTCTTTTGAATGTCATCAAACAGGCTTGGCCGCTTTCAGCAATGACTTTGCCTCTCTCACCATTTTTACACCCACCCACAAAAGCTTCCTGTGTGGGGGTACAAGCGCTTTAGACCTTGTGATACAAAGTGTTGGACAGAAAAAAATCAGACAGAGAGAGAAAGAAAGACAAGGCCACGGATGTAGGATCAACTCGACCAGACAAGCAACAGCAAACAAGCGAAAGAAGCTTAAGTTAGAGATGAAGAGCAGAGAAGGTCACAGCCAATCTAAGCGTTGACCACAGAACTTGTGAACTGCTGCAACCACTGCTTCCGTAACGACATCAGTTCCTCAACTCAACTACAGCCCAAAGACAGACGCACGCAGAAAGAAAGTGAAAGATGGGCTCCTTTCTGAAATCCACCGATCTCCCGTTTCTCTGATATGACAGAGGAAGCTGCTGTCTCACACATCATGCCATGGACGCCCAAATGCACATTCTGAGGAACCAACTGGATCTAATCGCCATCAAGGAAGCAGAAGATGAAACGGCAGAGAACGGCTTTGCCGGGGAGTTTTTGGTAGGTCATTAACCAGCTCCAATATAATACTAACCACTTTATTTTACATTACATGCAATGTTTTGTGACTATATGAGCATTTGAACATGAATGGATGTAGGCATTCAAAATATTAGCATTGCACAAGCCAAAAGAAAGATAAAAATAAAACATGTCTGGGAGCAGAGTTGATGCGGTGACTTAAATGGCTAAATGTGGACTTCCTCTTCTGAAAACACTGCCTCTTCATTTGAGCTTTCACAAATATCCCTTTCTGGTGTTTTGCTATTTATTAATACAGACCTAATTCATTAATTAATCAATAGCTGAATGAATGTCTTTTTGGAGCCCTGAGTAGTTATTCATCTCTGTACTACTTAGATGTGTTTCCGAAATTAGCTTCATACATGCTGTTCCCCTCTAATGTTACCTACTTTATTCCATGTGAACAGTCATAGCAATTGAGAGGAAGTCCTGAGTCACTTTGAGTCAAACCTGGGAATGCAAAAAAGCAGAAAATGTCTAAATTAATATGCTGTCTAAAGATTTAGTATTTCGATTTTGTCTTATGGTCCGCTCAGCTGTTTAAATTGAACAGGACGTTTAGCAGACTGGATATGATATCAAGATATGATGGATATGATAGATCTCTCAATATCTTAATCTAAATATTTTTAATTTAAATAGTTCAGAATGTATCACTATTTCGTCAGTAAGCTAAACCAAATAAACTTTAAAATGTATCTACTCAATGTTCACTGGATTCACTCATTACTCTGGTGCCACTAGCAGCAATTCCACACTAGATAAACTGGGAAAAACACCTTTAAAAATGTTTAAATGAAGTTCTTAGCCATGTAAATTATTAATCAAATATTTAATTTTAATATATTTAAAGTTTGAAATTTACAAAATGTCTTCATGGAAAAAGTTCTTTACTTTAAAAGAAAAATCACCAGGCCTCATTCACTAACCATGCATATGCACAAATTTAAGCATGAAATGTGCGCATGGACGTTTTCAGGAACAGTGTTGAGGAAAGTTATAAAATTAAGTAACTCCCGAAAAAAGTAACTAGTTGCATTACTTTTTATGCTAAGTTATGCATTACATTACTTTTGCGTTACTTTTTCTTTCTTGACAGTGGCTTGATCTCTTTCAGAACTTTTAGTGTTTTCTTTTTTTTCTTCTTTTTTCTTTTTCTATTCCAGAAATCTAAGGCTCAGGCCTGCCATCTTCATTTCTGTCTGTTTCACCGGGGAGTAAACTCTCTCATTAAGTGCATGATTCAATGTGACTATGTTCAATTATTTTACTTCAGTAATTTATTTTGCAAAAGTTCATTATTTAAACAAAAAGTAATTTGCGTTACATTTAAAAAAAAAAGTTACTTAATTTTTAAAATGTGTTACTTTACTTGTTACTTTGAAATCTAATATTATTACGTGACTTAAGTTACTTGTAATGCATTACCCCCAACACTGTTCATTGATAAATCATGATTCATTAAAACCTTCACACTAAAATTTATTCTAAATCTAAATCTGTTCAAGAACAACTGATACCACACATACACAATAATAATTTATGCCTTATAAACATGTATAAAGAGCCCTAAATATGATCCTATAATTTATTTATAGTGTGAATAAAAAGTAACTAGACAATAAAAAGTGTATTTTTAACTTTTACAAATGAATTATTATACATTTCATGTTCATTATTATTGTAGTTAAAATTATTAGCCCTCCAGTGATTTTTTTTTTCCTTTTTCAAATATTTTGCAAATTATGTTTATCAGAGCAAGGAATTTTTCACAGTATTTCCGATAATATGTTTTCTTCTGGAGAAAGTCTTTTTTGTTTTATTTCAGCTAGAATAAAAGCAGTTAAAAAAGGTCATTATTATTAGCCCTCTTAAGCAATTTGTTTTCCGAATGTCTAAACAAACCATGGTGACACGGAGGCACAGTGAGTAGCAAGAATGTCGCTGCGGTTCAAACCTTGGCTAGGTCAGTTGGCATTTCTGTGTGGAGTTTGCATGTTCTCCCCGTGTTCGCGTGGGTTTCCTCTGGGTGCTCCGATTTCCCCCACAAGTCCAAAGACGTGCACTATAGGTCAACTGGGTGAGCTAAATTGTCCGTAGTGTATGTGTGTGAATGAGAGTTCAGGGGTTGTTCCCAGTGATGGGTTGCAGCTGAAAGGGCATCTGCTGCATAAAACATATGCTGGATATGTTGCCGGTCTGTTCCACTGTGGCGACCCCTGATTAATAAGGGACTAAGCCAAAAAGAAAATGAATGAATTAATAAACAAACCATCATTACATTAATGATTTTCCTTATTACCCTAACTTGCCTAATTAACTTAATTACCCTAGTTAAGCCTTTAATTTGAACTTTTAGCTGAATACTAGTATCTTGAAATATCAAGTCAAATATTATGTACTGTCAAAGATAAAATAAATCAGTTATTAGAAATGAGATTTTAAAACTATTATGTTTAGAAATATGTTGAAAAAGAAACACAGATGCACAAAGATATAAAAAATATACAGGGTGTAATAATTAAGGAGGATTATATATAGTAATGTATATAATCAGTGGTCCAAACCACAATCACCTGCTGTGTTCTTATATAAAAGGTGATTATTGTGTTATGTTTGGAGTCATGGCAACTGTGACTGTGTTTGTAAAAAGTGTACAAAAGTGTGATGTTTAATGAGAGTGAGTTGATACAGTGCTTGGCTTGCATTTTGAAATTTGTCTTTTTAAAAGTCAACAAAAAAGCAGTGCGTTTTTCCTCGCATTTTCAAAACTGAAGGCACGTTCCTTCCAACATCAAAACCTTCATTAACATTTAAGCCCTTTTTCTTATGTTTCAGTGACATGATTGTCTTTTATTAATTTATAATTTGACTTTTTTAAAATTTTCTCTTGACAAGTGCCGCTTTACCAAAAGCCCTTATATGGAGCTGGCACAGGCATGATTTATACAAATTACTAATCGCGTGCACAAGGATGCTTCCTGAGAACAATTCATATTTACAAACAGAAGAACATTTAAGAACAAACTCATCTGCGTATACACATTTTCTGAATTAGTTGGAAAGTTTTCATGAGAAGTTCAAATGTGTGTATAAACACCAAATACAAAATTACTAATGAATGAGACCCTCTAATTTTAAGTCAAATCAAATCAAACCAAAACAATGCATTTTGGCTATATGGCAGCATAAGAGGGTTTATTGTCCAGGATCCCTCATGCAACATTTGATAAACAAAAAAGTGAAAGAAAAAAACCCCCCCAAAAAATAAATAAATAAAATAAACAAAAAATTTGAAAAAAGTCCCAAACCAATTCAGGCCCGCACTTGACATCATGTTTCAATATAGAACAAAACCTAATCTGTGGCACAGCCTGATTGTTAAAGAGTGTCTGTTATCTTCCTCATCAGCTGCAACATGTTCAGCACACTGTGAGGAACACTTTATATCTCTATACAGAGTCTCCCAAAGTGAAAGGAAGTCCCTATCACATCAATCGAGCAGTCTCAGATTAAAAGAACCACCACTTTCAAACATGCTCCATTACTATCTCTGTCAAACAGCTGCCAAACACTGCTTCTGTTACTAATGGAGTGTTTGCAGGAAGAGAAACTGTCTATTTGGCAGAGCCTAAAGTCTAGTTCCCATCACAAAGAGAGCAGAACTACTGGCCCTCGCTTCTAACCCGCAACAGACACAAACGTAGTGAAATGTACAATATGAGTCTAGTTTCACTGTCCAGAGCTCCTGAGGGTTTCTCAAAGTGTTTCCCCTGGATGATCGTCACATGCAGTCCTGACCATTCTGGCTCAGAGATCCCATGCTTATTACTCAGCCTGCTATGTTTGCTCACTGTTTATTGGGTTCAAAAGGCTTCTCGTAAGCTCAGCTGTGGTTGGAAAGTCTCTTGGTCTGGCATAAAGGTGCTTCTGCTCAGCCACACACTCAGAAACACAAACATTCATGCACAAACAGCTAGAGTTATCTAGATTTCACAGATCTTAACCACAGGACTATAAAGTTCAGTTTGGTAGTCAGATCAATGCTGATATCAAAAACATGACAAATGAGCTGGTTTGAAACAGAAGGTTTGTTGGTAACACTTTATTTTGATGGTCCATTTGAGTATTAGTAGACTGTCTGCTTAATATCTGTTGATACTGCTCCTTCAACAGACATGTAACTGACTATAAGAAACTTAGCAAGGACATGTCAACTTACATTAACCCTAAGCCAAACCTATCAGGCTACTTAATATAATGAGAATTAGTTGGCATGTAGATGCAATGTAACTTAATTCAACAAATTATAAAAGTGATTTCCAAGTCTCAAAATAGAAAAGCAATTAAAACAATTAATATATGCTCCTCCTTTAACATTTTTACATAAAATGTTTGTATATATGCATTTCCTGTAAAAAAAAAAGGGCATTACTAACTCTTGTAAATAACTAAAATTATAAAATGTGCGAAACATATTTGTATGTAATTTGATAATTATGTACCCTCACATAATTTTGATAATTATGTACCTTATGTACTCTCCTCTGTTTTTTTTTTGTTTGTTTTTTTTCCTCTTCTTTGTTTTTTCACTTATTTTATTCTTGTTAAGAAATGTAAAGTGATTGTATTGTATTGTATAAAAAAACTGTACATGCTGGTTCTTGTTAATAAAAAAAAAAAAAGAAAAACAATTCAACAAACGAACCATCAAAATAAAGTGTGACCGGTTTGTTGTGTGTGTGTGTTGCCTTTTCAAATGATGGCCATATTAAAGGGATAGTTCACCCAAAAAATGAAGCTTTACTCACCATTTACTTCCTCAAGTGGTTGAATACCTTATCGAGTTCCCATTTTCTGTTGAACACAAAAAATGTATGTGAAACATGTAACAATTGACGTGCGTCAATTAACTTCTAACAGAAAAAAAGAAACTCAAAAAGGTTTGTGGCAAGTGAAAGTTGATACAATGATGTATGATCCAATGATACAATGATACAATTTCAGCTGTGGGTAAACCATTCCTTTAACGTCTCAGTTAGGCATGGTACAATAACTGGTTTCAAAGAGTACTGCGGTTTGGTATTTAAACAGCAAAAAATGATGACATACCGTTCCTATAGTAAATTAAAATGTGTTTGTAAGTGTTTGTTTTTCATCTATTGTAAAGAAATCTGGTTTTGAAACTCATAAGGATAGCATTTCTTTAAATGATTTAAACTGACATGTTTACTGTTCCAAAATATTATAAATGTTTACTAAAATAAAATATACTCTTCAATGGGGGAAAAAGTAGTTTTTTACTAAGACATTTAAAAAGAGCTTATTTTAGAGCAGTAATCACAATACTGTGAAACCATGATAGTTTTATCCAAGGTTATCTTACCATCAGAAACTTATACCGGGCCATGCCTAGTCTCAGTCCTGCTGGATGAAACTACCTGTTTTATTTTCAAATATATTTATTAAATATATATATAGTTAATAAATAACACAGTAAACGTAAAAAATAAATAAAATAACATATATTATATAATAATATATTTATACTATATTTATTTATAGCTTTTATTGTCAGTTTTTATATATATATATATATATATATATATATATATATATATATATATATATATATATATATATATATATATATATATATATATATAGAAAACATAAAATAGATATAAAAAACTAACAATAAAAGTATATTATAATTATATGATGTATAATGTATGTATAATATAATTCAAGAAAAAACGTCCATGTTTTGTAATAAGATTTTAAAAACTCTCTTAATAAAAACCTAATTTTTTGTTCAACTTTAAACACAATTTTTTTATCCATCTGTTATATAAAGGTGGAGATGTTTGTTTTCACTTAAAGAGAATAAGCCTCCTAGCCAATAATGTGGTGAAAGCAACAACGTTCTGTGTTGTTGAAGGCAAATTGGGCTCAAAAGGATTCCAAACAGTTCAGTTGGAGGGTTTGGAGTGGCTAATACTTTATGTTAAATGCTTTTTTAAAAGTATAAAATATTTTAGAGTAAAACACTTTTAATCTTGGACAAGACCAAAACGTGTGTGTGATTTGCTAGAAATTGTTGACACCAAATTACTTCTATCTGGGTATATTTTTGCTAATCTGGCATTAGTGTAGTGTGCTCTGTGAAAAATCTTGTATTGCATTAAACTGTGTCGGGCACGTATAGAAGAACTGTGTTAAAAATTGAGTATGTAATCCTAAAGAATTAAATAATATTTTTGACAGATAGAAGTAGAGACTATCTCTTTTCTGTCTGGGTTAAAAGAAAGAATGGTGTCCATTTTTAAATCAGGAGGAAGATTAAGAAACAGAGTAAACTGATTTTGTGTCATATCATTGTGTCAAAAATCTTGCCAGAATACAACAAGTTTATTCTCAATCCTAATCGAATCTTGTGTCATTTGTTCAAAACAGAAACTGAAAAGGCAGTCGACTAAATATCGTGCGGAGAGGACGTATCCCACCACAGCTGCAGATAAACAAGACAATGTGAAGAAGAACAGATATAAGGACATTGTTCCCTGTGAGTATCACATTTGACATTTCTGACTAGGGGACAATATAGCTGTACCATAATACTAGATGATGTCAAAATTCATCATCTTGGCTATTATGAGTCGACAAAAAGTTATCTTCTTCAAGTTTATTCAAGTTTAGCTGAGTTGAGTTTACTCACGTTTTTAAGGAAGCAAGTGAACTTTCATATCCATGTTGAACAAAATAAAATATTTTAAAGGGTTTTTTAACTGCAATTTGCTCTGTTGTAATACAGTACAAAATAAGCAAACAAATCTTATTTTTTTATATGTGTTATAAGAGCCTTTCATCTAGAAAGTATTTTGTGTACAGTGATAAAAAAAATATTCTGTTGTGAAAATAAATAAATACATTATTTTAATTTAAGCAAAAATAAAAATAGAAAAATATATTAGCACTTCAAAATTGTAAAAGAAAAAAAATAAATAATATGTATATTTTACTTGGAAATTATTCTTTGAGGAAATAATAATAATACAATTAAGTAAAACCTATTCAACTTTCAGATGCTGGTTGTTTGATGTAGAAATGTACTGTTTATTTGACATATTGGATTTATTTCCTACCAAAAACGACACACATTCTTAAAAAAAAAAACAGACTGCTACTGTAAATATGTTTTGTGTACTAAGCAGGTTTTAGTTTTCAGTTAGGTACCACATAAACTCTGTTGTGTCAGAATGTTATTGTATAATAAGAAGAAATATACTGTGCTGTTTATTTATAGTTTCAGTAAAACATATACTTCAAAAATAGAATAGTTTCAATATTTAATTTAATTCAGTGCTACTACATTGAGTAAATGTACAAAACGAGAGTAAAATGTATTTATTTATTTAAAATTCCAATTCAAATGCAACTCAACAAACAATGCTACTTTTACATAACATGTATTAAGCAACAACATGCCAAAGCGTACTTTGCCGGCAGCTGACTTTCTGCAATTCTCACATGGTTGCCCACTGAAGCTAAGCAGGGCTCTGCCCGATCAGTAGGATGAGAGACCACATGGGAAAGCTGGGTTGCTGCTGGAAGTGGTGTTAGTGAGACCAGCAGGGGGCCCACAACCTGAGGTCTGTGTGGGTCCTAACGGCCCAGTACATTGATGGGGACTCTATACTGCTCAGTGAGCGCCGTCTATTGGATGAGACATTAAACCTGTGGTCCTTTAAAAATGAGTAGGGGTTTAACTCCGGCATCCTGGCAAAATTTGCCCACTGGCCTCTGTCCCAAAAAAATATGTTTAAGTAAGCGATTTGAGTGTCCAGAAAAGCGCTATATAAATGTAAGGAATTATTCTTATTATTATGCTGTACACAATGACAAGAGTCAATGTTCTGTGTTCTTAGTACACAGTTTTAGTTTTCAGATATGCGCCTCATTACCTCTGTTACGTCAGAATGTTATCATATTGTTAGCACAGTGATACGCACAGAACCACAGAAATACACAGTGTTGTTTACTTATTTAGTTTTCAGTGAAAACATTCATTCATTCATTTTCTTGTCGGCTTAGTCCCTTTATTGATTCGGGGTCGCCACAGCGGAATGAACCGTCAACTTATCCAGCACGTTTTTACGCAGCGGATGCCCTTCCAGCCGCAACCCATCTCTGGGAAACATCCACACACACTCATCCACACACACTCATTCACACACATACACTACGGACAATTTAGCCTACCCAATTCACCTGTACCACATGTCTTTGGACTGTGGGGGAAACTGGAGCAACTGAGCTGAGGCTCGAACAAGCGACCCAGCGACCTTCTTGCTGTGAGGCGACAGCACTACCTACTGCGTCACTGCATCGTCCAGTAAAAACATAGTAACAACATTTTGTAAAAAACATTTTGCTGCAAAGTACAGCAAAGTAAACTTCAAATGAATACGAAAAAAAAATACTTAAAACAATGCTACTTTTATGTAACTTACGTAAAAAAGTACAATTTTTTGTGTTCTGATTTTAAAAGCAGATTTACATGCACAGTAAAAAATATCCAGTTAAATTTAAATCTTAAAAAAAGAGAATTTTTTCTGTAATTGCTAGAAATTAAAAATAAAAGACATTAGAAAATAGACATAGAATAGACATTTTGAAGGTATTATGAAATAGCAAATTAGTATGTTTTTCCAATCGTTAACCATAAATTTTATGATACTAATATTAAGAATGTTCAGTGGTGCAAAGTAACAAATCACAAACACTCAAATTACTGTAATCGAGTAGTTTTTCTCAGGAATTTTAACTTACCAAGTAGTTTTAAAAATGTGTATTTTTACCTTTCCTTGAGTACATTTTTAGGGCTGTGTTGGTACTTTTACTCCACTACTTTCCTTCCACCTGCAGTCACTACTTTATTTTTTCTTGTCTATGGTGATTGACTGAGTAGAAAAATCAGTCCTGCGATTCCTGTCCAATCAAATCGCACATAGAACGTTAATCACATCATACTGAACAACCTCAAGACATGGGCGCTTTCACAGTGTATTACTCACTACTCTTGAGTACTTTTGAAAAAGCTACTTTTTATGCATACTTTGACTACTATTTACAAAAGATACTTTTACTTTGCTTGAATTACATTTTTGCGCAAGTAATGGTACTTTTACTTGAGTATGTTTTTCAGTACTCTTTCCACCACTGATTGTTAATACATAACACCTTGTACTGACTTATACTGTACTATACTACTATATATGTATTACTATATTATAGTACACAACAAGTGCATTTTCACATTGACCGTTCCCAGTTGCTACATTAAAAAAAAAAAAAAACATAACATACCAATTATACCAACACACTGACATGAAAAGTGAACACAAAGTTTGCTCTGTAGAAAAAAAACAAAACATGATGACAATGAAGATTACAGAAACAAGATGTTCTAGAGATGCTGACAGATTTACTTTCTCACAGTTGATCACAGCCGAGTGAAGCTCTCCCTCTTCACATCTAAAAATGACACGGACTACATCAATGCTAGTTTCATTAAGGTAAGGAAGTTACATACAACAAAATTTGAAATGCACACAATACATCTAGTCATTAATACACAAAATGTTGTTGATTTTATGAAGCCAAAGAAGTAAACACAAAAGCCATTGATAACAAGTACACTGTAAAAAAAAATATATGATCAATTAGTCAAGACAAATAAAGACGAAGTTTTTAGCTAATTGTAACTTATGAAACTAATTCAATCACAGCTGTTTTACATCAGTTTAATATGTTCAAATGACTCAAAAGTTCATTTGATTCAGCTTAAAAATTTAAAACAAACTGTATTTTTTTGCAGTGTACAACAAGGTGAATGTCAAAAAATTTGGCAAAAATTTGGGTTAATAAGACTTGCACTAAATAGTACACTTGGAGTAATCAAATTGCACTACAAAAGACTGTGAGTGTCTGTAAACCTTGCAATTATGAAACTGAAATAAGACTTAAAAAAAAAAAGGAATCTGCATTTTCTGAATTTTTGTATGAACAAGTGGTGTGACAACATGTGGCACTGGTGGCGTTTTCAGTGTTTACGATCAACATGTGATGTCCAAACAGAAGTTTATCTTCATAAAAACTTGCCAAAATAACATTTAGCTTTAAATTGTGGCAGAAATATAGACAGACTAATATTATATAGTATAAAGTACTTCTCATGGTAAAAAATGTATACAAAATTTCAGTTTTAAATCTTTAAATTCTCAAAGCCCTATCATACACCTGGCACAATAAGGTATGAAACGGTTTTGCATGATATGTTGCTATTTTCAGACCAGCGCAACAGTAATTTTCACATTTTGCCACAGGTTGTTTAAATAGCAAACCTATTTGCGCCACTTTGTGGACTCATGAGTGTTCTGGTCTAAAACGGAGGTATTTTAAGGTGCATTTTGATGCGTTGCTATTTTGAGAAACTGAAATAGACTATACCATTGACCAACTAAAAGCTGGTCTAGAGTTGTGCGCAAAACGCTTACACATTGCTTAATACACACAGGATGTACAGCAATAGACAAATATCCTTACATATGAAAATAATATTTAGGGATTAAAATGTTACAAAAACTATAATTTTCTACATAAATATAACATCCACTTCCTCCATGCCTTCTTCACCTCTGGGTGCTTTTTTCAGTTTATTCATGACAGTTTGCTTTTATATATTGTTATTATTATTAGCATTATTATTTAATTTTATGCAAATTTATATTTATATTTCCACCTGTTAATTTTTGGAGACACATGCATCACCATATGGGGCATAAGAATAGGACGTGTGTTTGGATATAACTATATAATAATTATAGTTTTTGACCACACTTCATTATTATTGTTCATTTATTCATCTGCTGGAAATTAGAACTGAATTTAGAAATAGTTTTGAAACCAATCTTTGGGCTTAACAAACAAAATTAAATATGTAGGCTAATAGATAGTTTTGATTGGAGTGAGTTTCCAGTGTTTCCTTATCCAAAAAAGTAAAGGAGTAAAGTAAAGTAAAGAAAAAGTAAAGAAGTTGAATGGAGGAGGCTCGTTCTTTATTCCTGGCGCTGCAGATGGTTTGTTTAACTGTTTTCTCGCTAGTAAAGCGTTCAGTTTTTCCACTCACAAAGTCCACCATGTAAATAGCAACTGTGCCATAATGCGATGGAACTGACTTTTCAAAGGGAATGTGAGATGAGACTCTAATAGGTTTAATGCATATTATGCTCAAAACACACCAATAACCCATTAAGAGAATAAGCACAACCCTGTTATACCATGCGCCAGGGCGCAAACTGTATTTTTCCATCCTTCAAATAACAAAACGGGATTCGGACACGACCTTAATGCTTTTGCATTGTGCTCTTTAGACTTTGCACTTAGATTGTTAAAATAGACCCTTTGATTTTAGTTAAATAGACCAACTTTTTAATTGCAAAAACAAGAATGTATCATTTTTAGCACTTCAACTACACAGATCCAATTTAACAGAAAATGTAATGCTTAAACAATCACTGACACGTTATTAGTGGCATTCGAGAGGATTTGGGAACCACTTGTCATGTATTCTGTATTTATTTCAGGGTGTTTCAGGCTCTAAAGCATATATTGCCACCCAAGGGCCACTGTCAAACACTGTGCTTGACTTCTGGAGAATGATATGGGAATACAACATAAAGGTAAACGCTTGCCCTTATAGCGTATGACCATGTCACACGCATTCCATTTACTTTAGAAAACCAGTTTGACCTGCTAGATAAGCTTCAAGCCAAACATTTGTCATGAATGCCTCTATAATAATTCAATGTCTCTTCACAGGTTATCGTGATGGTTTGCCGAGAGTTTGAAATGGGCAGGGTAAGTTCTAACTGACACGTGTGTTAGGGGGAAATGTTGTCAGTCACTCTGTCTTAAAGTAAACATTTTTTATTAACCACATCCTCTTGGCTCAGAATGGTGAAGCATTGCATCAAGCATGACATTTTTGTTTTGTTTATCTTGAGCTCCAACCTTTTCGCAACTTTTGATACAATCACAATGTTGCCAGGCGCTATGCGTATATATTTTCCATCTGCATCTGAAGGGCCCATATGTGACTGACTACTGTTCTTCCTCTTTCTCTTTATAGAAAAAATGTGAGCGTTACTGGCCAGAGTCAAAGGGGGATGTGTTTGTGTGTGAGGCCTTTACCATACTCTATGTAAGAAACACCTCTTCTCTCACTCACACCACACTTCCTGTCCTTGTGTTTTATTTGTGGTCACACAACATGGCTGTTCAAGCTTGATTCTCACTCATGCAGCAGATCTGATCTAAAGCACTACATCATCAATCACTGAGTAGATGTTACCTTTTTGCACAGCATCATTATATTTTATTATTAGTATGTTGACATTCTTGACAAACAAAACTGTTACTTGAAAAAAAAAGCAATTTATGCCAGTGCTATACTGGGTGTTGTGCACAACAAATCATTCATTTCCTTCATTTTAATAACCACTGAATAAAAAAATAAATTAAAAAACAGGCCAACTGAGAACTTCAAGATTGTATAGGCATTTATTGAACCCACCAGTTTGTAACTTAATTTATTTTAACCTAACTTCATATTTTGACAATCATATTTTATAGTTTTATAGAATTCTTACAGAAAAAAACTACATTTCCCATGAACCTTGATGCTACAGTTAATTTACCAACTCAGAGAGTCTCTGCTAGCCAAGTGCTCCCAAAAGGGATATTTAGCTCCGCCTACTCACATAAAGCTTTGAAAATTAATGTAATTGATTCTCCATACTTTCTCAGCACACTTATCTTATGTCATTTACACTGCTTCATGGGATTGAAGTTCTTTGCTCTGTAAAGCCATGTTGTACTGTGTCAGATTTTCTTATGTTTCTTTATTTTCAAATAAAGTCTAATGTTGTGATTCGCCATGTGATTAGTTTGGTTCATGGCTTATAAAGCTTTATTGAAGACATAAAAAATCTCCCAGTGGAAAAATGTATGGATATGTGGAACAAGTGCTGTTGAAAAGCTGGTCAGACACTAAAGCACTTTTGTAAAAGGCTTCAACTATATTATTTGAGTTATATTACATGAGTTAATACCATTAGGTAGTGATATGTTCCTTAATTTTCTTTAATTTTACATAAACCTTCTGATGCTCAAATTGATTTAGTAATAGGAATTAAAACTATTCGTACTGGATAAGGTGGCGGTTCATTCCGCTGTGGCCACCCGGGATTAATAAAGGGACTAAGCCAAAAAGAAAATTAATAAATTAATATATTATATAAATGTCATATGACATACACTCAACAGGAACTTTGTTAGGTACACCTAATTAGTACTGGGTTTGACCCCCTTTTGCTTTCAGAACTGCCTTAATCCTTCATGGCACAGATTCCAGAAGGTACTCGAAATATTCCTCAGAGATTTTGGTCTATATTGACATGAAAGCATCATGCAGTGGCTGCAGATTTGTCAGCTGCGAATCTATTATGCAAATCTCCCATTCCACCACATCCCAAAGGTGCTCTATTGGATTGAGATCTGGTGACTGTGGAGGCCATTTGAGTACAGTAAACTCATTGTCATGTTCAAGATACCAGTCTAAGATGATTCACGCTTTATGAAATGGCGCATTATATTGCTGGAAGTAGCCATCAGAAGATGGGTACACTGTGGTCATAAAGGAATATTACTCAGAATTACTCAACATTACTCAGGTAGGCTGTGGCGTTAACACAATGCTCAGTTGGTACTAATGGACACAAAGTGTGCCAAGAAAATATTCTCCACACCATTACACCACCACTATGCTGAACCGTTGATACAAGGCAGGATGGATCCATGCTTTCATGTAGTTTACCCCAAATTCTGACCCCACCATCTGAATGCCGCAGCAAAAATCAAGACTCATCAGACCAATGAGAGGCAATGTTTCACCAACCTTCTATTGTGCAATTTTGGTCTGGCCATTCTCCTCTGACCGATCAACAAGGCATTTGTGCCCACAGAACTGCTGCTCCCTGGATATTTTCTCCTTTTTGGATCATTCTATGTAAACCCTAGAGATGGTTTTGTGTGAAAGTCCCAGTGGATCAGCAGTTTCTGAAATACTCAGACCAGCCTATCTGGCACCAACAACCATGCCACGTTCAAACCCACTTAAATCGCTTTTCTTCCCCATTTTGATGCTCGGGTCAAACTGCAGCAGATCGTCTTGACCAAGTTGCTGCAATGTGATTGCTACAATAGAAATTTGCATTAACGAGCAGTTAGACAAGTGTGCCTAATAAAGTGGCCAGTGATTGTATTTAACCCCTTTAAATTGAGTACTAGTTTAGATCTGCAATAAGTTATTAACTTTTTAGTAATATAGCAAAAATTTCCTATAACATTAAAGATATTTGATTTTCTCTAGGAGTCTGATGAGAATAAGGGAGACTACTTGACACGAACGCTGAAAGTGACATTCAAGCAAGTAAGTAACAGCTTTTTTGGTCTTGACCACAAAAAATGATTAGCTTTTATATGGATTAACATGAGAACATCTGAATTAAAATGCAATATATATTTTACAATTACTTTAACAAATCAATGTTTAAAATAAATGCAGACAGTTCTTTGTAGACTAATTGCTCTGTGCTTTTGATGTGATCTTAAATCTAGTTCTTCAAGTTATAAAAGTACTGCTGTCGGTCAAACAGTGTTTTGCGGTGACCAGTGACGCACACTGACTTTTTTTCTCTCTGCAAAAAGTCATAGCATAAGACTTTTGTCGGATTGTGCAGCAACTGCAAAAAACAAACAAATGCAAACAGGTGCTGACATTTATATAGATGTTTTGTAGTGGTTGGAGAAAACCACTACAATGTGGTGGTTTAATGAGGTAGCAAAGCAGGTTATAGAATTAAAGAACGCTGGTTATTTCCAGGAGTCGCGAAGACTGAAGCAGCTGCACTATGTGAACTGGCCTGATCACGGTGTTCCTGACTCTATTCCTGCCATCCTGGAGCTTCTGCAGGAGATGCGCATTTACCAGGACAACGAGGAAATTCCCATCTGCATCCACTGCAGGTATATATTCTGTGGTTATATTGTGGCCAAGCTTTGGAGACCATGAATGCAAGATAATGACAGAAACTGATTGCTCGCATTGATGACCTTGAAAGATGCCCACCTCTATTTATATACCTATGAAACGTGTAGGTGGTTGACCAACGACGAGCAAATACACCAACAACCCTCTCATATAGTGATAGTTGCAACAATGCTTCACACACAGGCTAGTGACTGTATTTATTTGCGTATGTTAGAAACATTCATTAATTTCCTTTTCAGCTTAGTCACCCTATTAATCTGGGGTCGCCACAGTGGAATGAACCGGCAACTTATCCAGCATATGTTTTACGCAGTGGATGCTCTTCCAGCAGCAACCCATCACTGGGAATCATCCATACACACTCATTCATTCACACACATATACTACTAACAATTTAGCTTACCCAATCACAGTACCACAGGTCTTTGGACTGTGGGGGAAAACGGAGCACCCAGACGAAACCCACACAATCAGAACATGCAAACTAAACACAGAAATGGCAACAGAACAGACGGCTTGAACCAGCGACCTTCTTGCTGTGAGACAATTGTGCCACCCACTGTGCCAACGTGACATCCCCATGTCAGAAACATAAGAATTTAAATTATGCTTTCTGACTAATAAAGCAACTTAGGTTAAAAAAATTAAATAAATGGGATTTACTTCAATCTACTTTAAATTCTAAACATGGATCTCAGGTTAATAAGGAAAATCTCAATGTCAAGAACTAGAAGCAATATTAGTAGAATTTCACAAAAAGTCTCTTTCTAACAATTTATTGCTTTTTTCGTACTCTCGGTTTGATCATTATTTATTTACCCTTATTTGAAAATTTAAAAAATCGAAATAATTTAAAATAATTTTCTTTATTTTTATTAATTAATATTTAAATATAAATAATCCAAATTGTTGTTCAAATGTTCAACAAAGTAACCTTTTTCCAAAAATTTCCTGTTATTGCTAAAAACCCATACATGATGAAGCTGATACGAAAATTGCATTTCATCCTAATAAAGGAGCACATTTTTATTACAATTAAATTGTCAACTTTACTGTTTCAAATAACTTTTGTGAAAATAAATTATCAAAATATGGGTTGCTAAAATAACTGTACTGTAATTTGTTTGATATATATATATATATATATATATATATATATAAAGTATATATATATATCAAGTATATATATATATACTTTATATATATATATATATATATAAGTATTTTCAAAAAAGTGGTTAATTCCAATGAATTTATACTACTTTAGTATGAAATGTACGATTTTAAATAAGGCATATTTCCAAACCCCACTCAAAAATGAATAAGAATGTACAATTTAATATAAATGAATTAGCCATGAAATAATAAAAAAAAATTTTACCCTTCAAATGTTTAATAAAGAAACGTTTTTGCCAATAATTTCCTGTTACTGCTAAAAGCCCAGTACATGCTGAAGCTTGTATTTTGTCTAAATAAATGAACAAATTTTAAATACAAGTAAATTGTCAACTTCAATGTTTCAAAAAACTTTTGTGAAAATAAATTGTCAAAAAATGGGTTGCCGAAATAATGGTCGCCATATTTATTGATATAAAGATGAAACAACATACTTATTCTGACTTGTTCTTTTTAAACTATATAAAAGAATAAGTAATCATACAACTTTTTATTCATTCAATTATTCATTTTGTGACTTTATTAATCTGGGATCACCAAAGAGGAAAGAGCTGCCAACATCTCCAGCCTATGTTTTATGTGGTGGATTCCCTTCTAGCTGCAACCCATCACTGGGAAACATCCATACACGCCCATTCACACTCACACACTACTGACAATTTAGCTTACCCAATTCATCTATACCACAAGCTTTTGGAGTTGTGGGGGAAACAAGAGCACTCGGAGGAAACCCATGCTGCCCATACAACATTTTATTACATTTGAAATCATTTAAAAACTTTAATTAATAAATTGCAAACCCCCCCCCCACACACACACACACAAAACTAAGCAGATCAGCGCAAATTAATTCTGATTTTATATTTATTTCACATTTTGCCATGTTATACTTTGTCACTCTCCTTTAAACCACTAGGTTTACCCTTTTCCATTAAAATGTTTTAATCATTCATCAAGTTATTCATTTATTTTTCTTCGGCGTCGCTTTATTTAATCATGTACAAAAATTGCTAGAGCACCTTATTTCTTTTATACATTTTGATAGGGACAGTTCAGAACAAGTGTGTTGTTATATGACTCCACATTTTGTGACGTTGTAAACCAGTGGTCACCAAACTTGTTCCTGGAGGGCCGGTGTCCTGCAGATTTTAGCTCCAACCCTAATCAAACACACCTGAACAAGCTAATCAAGGTCTTTCTAGGTATACTTGAATCATCCATGCAGGTGTGTTGAGGCAAGTTTGAGGTAAACCCTGCAGGGACACCAGAACTCCAGGACGGAGATTGGTGACCCCTGTTGTAAACTGTAACTTATACTGCACTTGAGAGTTTTAAAGTTTAAATATGAGAAAAGAAAGCTGTATTTTCGTTGTGCCTCATACTCTTGGGACTCTTTGTGGATTTGCAGTGCGGGCTGTGGAAGAACAGGTGCATTGTGCGCCATTGACTACACCTGGAATCTACTGAAGAGACAGGTAAAAATTCAAAGCATCTTCATTAGACTGGCATAAAAATAAAGAGGACACAAAAGAGCACAAACATTTCTGACAAAAGATGTTCAGATGTTAATCTATATCTTGACAAAGTTTTGATCTTATTTGTTCTCCATTAGATAATACCAGAGGATTTTAGCATTTTTGAGCTGGTAAAGGGCATGCGCACACAAAGGCCCTCAGTGGTTCAGACTAAGGTAACCAAGTTTCTCTTTAAATTACTGACGTCAATTTAAACTCCATTTGGCCTAATGATGATTCCTTTTTTCCTCAAAGGAACAATATGAACTAGTTTACAGAACAATTAAGTTGCTGTTCGAAAGATATCTGGCAGCACTTGAAGCACCAAGTAACAAGGTTAGATGAGAACAAACTAAATACAACAATGATGCCAAATATTACATTTCCCACACATCACAGTCGATGAAAAAATAATGTTATCATTCATCAGGTGCCAGATTCCTCCTCTCCTGCCATGTTAAGCAGTGGAAGTGAACTCTCAGATATCAGCGATTTCAGCGATCAGGAACAAACTGAGCACAGGTTTGAGGAGATTTCTCCTTTTAATACTATTTTATTCAGGTTTTTAAAAAGTAGCTTAACTACAAATGAACATACATTCACCATTTATTCATCTTCATCCTCTTCTTGTTTCTTTTTTCTTTATTTAAAATCTTCTTTTAAAAATTGCTTTTGTCTCCAAAATGAAATTTAAAGGTGGCCAATGTTTTGGACTGCACTGACTTTTAGAGGGCCGGTGTCTTTAGCTCTAACTTTCTTCAACACACCTGCCTGGAGGTTTCTAGTATACCTAAAAAGAGCTTGATTGGCTTATTCATTCACTAATTCATTTTCTTTTCGACTTAGTCCCTTTATTAATCCAGGGTCGCCACAGCAGAAAGAACCGCCAACTTATCCAGAACATGTTTTATGCAGCAGATACCCTTCCAGCTGCAACCCATCTCTGGGAAACACCCATACACATTCACACTTATACACAAAGGATACCTATACCGCATGTCTTTGGACTGTGGGGGAAACCGGAGCACCCGGAAGAAACCCACACGAACGCAGGGAGAACATGCAAACTCCACACAGAAATGCCAACTGACCCAGCCAAGGCTCGAACCAGCAACCTTATTGTTCTGAGGCGACAGCACTACCTACTGCACCACTGCGTCACCGATTGGCTGGCTCATCTGTGTTTAATGGGGGTTGGAACTAAAATATGCAGAACACCAGCCCTCCAAAACCGAGTTTGGACACTCCTGGTATAAAGTAATATCTATCAGATTTTTTTTAAAACGTAATGCCAGTTTACCATTTATTGACTGTGACTCACTCTCCTGTCCCTGTGTTGAGAGAAATCAGGAGTTTGTTGTATACGATGTGTAAACATAAGATTTAGTTCTAGATTGTGAACGTATTTACTCTCTCACTTGCTCAAACACAGATTCTGTATCCTTTACCCTGAGGTTTATTTATGTCACATTTCACTTTCTATTAAAAAGAAACAAGCAAGCCCAGCATGGATGAAAAAAGTAACCATTACTTTCCTTTAAAAGTAACTAAGTACCATATTAAATTACTTTTTAAATATATTTATTGTGATATTTCCTATTTAAAAGTAATCTTTATGAATGATTGCTTTCAAAAAGTTTTCTCTACATGCTTGCCCATGTGCCATTGGTCACAACTAACATTAATGACTGGCACATTGTTGTCTCAATGTTGCTCAAGCAGACAGATCACAGTTTTTACACTTTTCAGAGAAATTAGCTTAATAATCTACTTGAATTCACACTTCATGCTGTAATTTGTTTGATATAGATATAATAAAACTAGCTCGATCTCATGAGGAATCATAACTATTTGAAGTATTTTCAGACAAGGGGTTCATTTGTATGAACTCATACGACTTAAGTATGAAAACGTACAATTTTTTAAAAGGAGGCATGTTTCCAAACCCCACTTAAAAACAAAGAACGTACAATTTAATATGAAATGATTAGCCATGAAATAAAAAAGTTATGAACTGCCACTAAACTGCATCGATTAAAACAATAAACAAACACTTGAAAACCTTCCACAATATGTTAGATGATGTGACAAATCAAACACAGCAGACGTGGGCTTTAAAAGACTTTATGCTAGAGGAAGAAAGTTTTCACAATAATAAAAAAAACATTATTGTTATGTAAAAACCATTTAGATTTTTCTTTGGAGTTTCCTTGTTTTCCAGAGTCAAGGTTTTTAAATAAAATCTGTAGTCCAAAAATAAAGCTATCAGAGGGTTCTTTATAAGACAAAATTTAAATATCGATGTAATTTATTTGTGCACAGTCCATATCATAAAAAAACGAATTCAAAGCAAGCGTCATTTGAAACTGTGTGTGAACATGCTTTTGTTGATGTTGTTCCTTTAGGAATGATGAGATCCGAGTGGATGAATACAATCATGTTATGCAAAACAGCGCTTCTTGGCAACAGCCTCATTCACAAACATTCAGTCCAGAGGTCATGTCCAACAAACTCACTCCTGCAGACCTGCACAATGCAAGATGTGAATGGGTCCAGATCACAGACCAGAGCTCATCTATAGCACCAGTTCTTCAAACTGACTTTACGACTTGTGGATCTCAAAAACCCGAGGCGTCCACCAGCCTAAGCACAACTTCAACACAAGTTTCATGTTCAAATTATCTGGAATGGGTAGAAAACCAAGAAGCTAGTCCTGTTGTCAAAGATCACAACACTGTTATTCCCAGCACCCTCTGCCTAACTGTGGAAGATCCTTATTTTGGGCCCGAGTCTCCACCAGGTAGCAACAATCCCAGTGTTTTGAACTGTACGGCTCATGAAATCTGGACAGAGAAACCCTGTTTTACAATACCTAGTTTAGCTCTAAATAACCAGGCGTTGGAGATGCCAAAGCATGACTCCAATAACAAAGGTATGAACATTAGAGGCTGAACTGTCAATTGATTTACTCAACATGATTTAAGATAGACAATTTAAAGATTTATAATTTGTTTTAAGGTGGAAATACACTCTCATCTGATGAAGAAAGCCCTCCTCCTTTACCAGAACGAACTCCAGAGTCTTTTATAATGGCAGATGAAACTAGTGGTCAGTCCAATAATGGTCAGTTATATTATTCTAAAAAACAAACACTATTTCAGTACAAATTGTTACATATAATCATTGATGTTTTTTTTTTTTTAAAGAGAACACAAAAATCATTAAAAAATGGGGAAAAAAACCTAAAAAATAACTTGTGGAAAAGAAAAATTGAAACAGGAGTAGGCATGGGCCGGTATAAGATTCTGACGGCATTATAACCTTAGATAAAAATATAACGGTTTCACAGTATCATGGTAAAGCGATTACTGCTCTAAAACATGTTATTTTAAAATGTTTAGGTAGAAAACAAAACATGTTTACCCCTTTGAAAACAATATATTTTATTTTTTGAAAGATTTTAAATATTTTGGGGCAGTAAACATGTCAGGCTAAATAAAGAAAATGAATTATTGACCTCTGCTGTCTTTATTAGTTTCAAAAACACTGATTTCTTTACAATTTAAAATGACATATTTGGATATATTTTCTGCTAAAGATACTGTTGTCCTTAAAAACAAATAAAAATATGAATAAAAAATCTTATAATCTTATAAAAAAAATATAATCTTACCTTTATAACGGTATTACAGAAAATTTTGGCGGTTTTAAGACTTATTCAAACCGCGGTATACCTTGAAACCTGTTATCATCCCATGCCTAAACAGGAGTAATAGAAGTGTACAGAAAATTACGACCAACTGAATGCAGTTATTCAACAATTACAATTAGATGAATAAGTTCTTCGCAGAAGCAGAAATCAGCCACCGCCTTTACCAGTGCGGGGTTAACTGACATGCAGGGAAAGTAATTGAAAAAAATCATCCTGGAAAAAAAAGATCAATTATAGGTTCTGAATGTCATTTTCGATTACTTTTCAATTAATCTCCCAGCCCTGTGTAGAACAATATTTTAAACTATATTAATTTTAATTATTCCACTTTATTTCAGTATCTGCCCATGCCAATATATAGAGTGCTGCATTTTTTGTTTTGAAATTAAAGCGCATTGATT